TAATTTTGCATCATTTCTCGAACGTTGATATGAATGTATCAGTTTCTTCATTCTGATCATTTATGTATATCAAGAATAGTAATGGCCTCGTTGCTGACCCCTAATGGTACTTTAGTTATGACCACTCTGACGACTCTAATCTCTAAGTAGCCCTCTAATTTAAATTTAAATTTTGCCCCGAGGGGCGAGTTTATTGGGCAGCGCCACTCATCTTGTGAGTGGACATACCGCCATAGCAGAATGTACAACACTCCCCAATAGGAAGAAAACCCGCTCGGTTGTTCATCCTGTCACTTGTACCTAGACACAGCTGGGACTTGCTTAACTGTCTCAAGTGAACAGCTCCTCAAACAAGAAGATTAACATCTATCAATCCTTAAAAGCTTACGTTATCTTGCGGGTGCAAAATGGGGAAATCTTTTAAGAACAGTATCAATATTTGACAAATAGTGTTTTCCTTACTCAAACAATGTGGGGTTTATTATTCTACACATATTCCTAATGTCTCTCAGGTGTTCACATTCACGTAGATAGTGGCAGAGTTTCTTTCACCCTGATGCTCCGGTTACCTAGCATTAAAATAGGTACCTGGGAGTTAGACAGCTGCTACGGGCTGTTTCCTGGGGTGTGTGTAACAAAACGGACCCCAGGGACGCTAAGCCCCAAAATCATCTCAAGATAACTGCTTCAAATGCCTTTTTACAATCCACAGAGACACAATGTGCTTAGCTTACCCTTTCTTGGGTCATCGATATTGCGTTTTCATCAAACTGCAACAGATTCCAAAAGGAAGACTTGTTTTATTGAAGGTATTTTGATGTTTGGAGATGAAATATGCAAACTCTATGATTCCCTAGCTCTTGCTGACGATCCTCTCAAGTAGTTTGTAGGGAATACATGTGATACTTGTTTCTAGTTCAGGGGAAACATGTATCTTTAATAAAATTGGCATGCCCCCCTTTTTCTTGAATTCAACTATCACGCTCACTAATTTCCTTTCAATTGTATTTCTCCTTTGTTGACTGAAGCATTGCAGATCATTGTCAGTAGTCAACTGAGTACTTCAACAGCCTCCATTAAGGTCCAGGAGGATATATATCATCAAATACAATCACTCGTTACTTTTCTCCTCGAATTACTTCTTAAATTCCTGTAAATTACCTAAGGGTAATTACCTACGTGTAGTTACAGGATGAGAGCTATGCTCGTGGTGTCCCGTCTTCCCAGTACTCTTTGTCATATGATGACATATAACTGTCCAGGCGTATTTGTGTGTGTCTAATCCTATTGGCTAGAGGCACAGTCTTCCTTAAACATATAGTGGCTATCTTGAGATGATTTCGGGACTTTTTAGTGTCCCCGCGGCCCGGTCCTCGACCAGGCCTCCACCCCCAGGAAGCAGCCCGTGACAGCTGACTAACACCCAGGTACGTATTTTACTGCTAGGTAACAGGGGCATAGGGTGAAAGAAACTCTCCCCATTGTTTCTCGCCGGCGCCTGGGATCGAACCCAGGACCACAGGATCACAAGTCCAGTGTGCTGTCCGCTCGGCTCCTTCCGGAGCCATTTGGATTCGAGAGGTTCCGAGTCAATTGTTAAAACTTCCAGAACTCTTTTTCTTCGTGTTTATTCTACTTTTCCTTGTCATTGTCAGTATGACCTCCACATCTTTGGTTTAGCCGCCACACATGGTCATTCTCTCACGTCTTTTCTCTAACACAATTCTGTACAGTCTTGGCTGTTCTCTTGCTCGCAACGACATGTCTTTTCCCACGGTGTTTCTCTGCCGTCTTACAGCCACATACACATTTGTTTCCTTTCTATAGTAGTGATGTTTCTCATGTGTTGTATAGTCCTGGGTTTTGGGGGCCCAATTCTTTTCTCGTCTTTTTAGTATTGAGGTGTCATGGAACTAGGGCCTGGTGTACGTGTGTGTGTGTGTGTGTGTGTGTGTGTGTGTGTGTGTGTGTGTGTGTGTGTGTGTGTGTGTGTGTGTGTGTGTGTGTGTGTGTGTGTGTTTGTAAAAATGCAGACTAAGTGTTTATCATTGGTTTTGAAAACGTATTGTTCAAAACATATTTATAATATGTACTAAAGTAATTTAATTTAAGAATAATTTTTGTCGAAATTCATAGTATAGCGAAAGAAAGAGAGAGAGAGAGAGAGAGAGAGAGATAGATAGATAGAGAGAGAGAGAGAGAGAGAGAGAGAGAGAGAGAGAGAGAGAGAGAGAGAGAGAGAGAGAGAGAGAGAGAATGCATTACATAATAACCTTGGGGAGAAAGCACATTTTTTTATACAACTTTCGGATCATGTAGTGACTCCATTAAAAATATGATGCAATCTTGATAGTTTCTATGAATTTCAGAAATAATAAATGATGAAATACCACATATCACTAATGAATTACTGTAACACAGTTAATTTTATTTTAAATATTTTAATGCATAATATACAGTATTTAATAAATTTTCATAAAAAAAATATTATTCGTGATTGACAATTGTGCTCCTTTCTGTAGAATGCAGGTTAGAGAAACTTAAAATATGTTTTAATTTCCAAAGTTCTAAATACATTTACATGATTTCTGATAATATTCTATGTATCGAAACACAATATTTCTTGAAATTATTATTTTTTTTTTTGAAACGACATCTGATAAAGGCACGAAACCAAAGCAACAATTCTCCAAAGTCATTCCCTTTCGTCATCAAGACGCAAGAAAAGTTCCATAATACTTTCTTCGCAAAACCGGTGGGTAGTAAATGAGAACAAATTATATGGAGACGACCCATACCTGTCCCTTCTGGGGTGGGGCAGATGCAGGCCCCATGACACTAATGACTCTACATGTGTCTTAAACACCTGTCTTCACCTCCCACTTAAGGTTTCACACCTGACTGTAATGATTTTTCCATACAGGTGTAAAGCTGTTGGCTGTAAATTTAGCTACTCGGAACTTAAATGTCCATGTAGCACGGGATATGGAGAGCCCGTAATTGAGTTCGGCTATTCACGATAGCCTTGTTACTGTGAGACTTAACAACACAACAAAGGTATAGAGGCTCAGGCGTTGGAGTTGATTGACAAGACGTGAGGTGAACGACCTTAAGAGACCCGGATGACTATCGATTAAGCTTTCGGGCTATTAATGCCCGTGCCACTTCTTGGGTGGCACGGGCACCCCCAGTTACAGCTCCACTCCTGTGCCAGGTAAGTTCACTACGGGCTCACCATAGCCCGTGCTACTTGGAACTTTTTGTTCCCAGTAGCTGAATCTTAAACAACAACAATCTTGGGTGGCTTAATCTTAATCTGCATCAATCAATTGATTAAACGCTTGCTCTCCCTTCCTCATTCATGCATTTTGTAATAACTTATTTTGTAAATATTTTCGTATAGTAAATCTGGATTTGAATATATGTGTAAATGATAACACTTTAATTCACATATTTATCTTCTTTTAGATGAAAGAAGAGGGGAAAGGAGCTTTGGTTTGTTTAATTCTTTCTCCATCTCTAAGTATTCTGACCAAAGTTTAGAACTCTGACGTAAATTTACACTTTGTCATACAAAGAAGTGACAGGCTCATACATATTTAGCTTACTGGTTAGTGCTATTGGTATAGAAAGTAAACCAATTTGCATATTGTAACTTAAGACATGGTGCCACTGCATAATTGTTCATGAAAAATATTCCCATAAGTCATATCAGTTTAATATTTATTCATGCAAATTACGTTAATTTATTATGTTTTACTTCATTTTTCTACTAAAATTAACTTTTATCAAAATTAAGTTAAGTCATACTTGTGAGATTTGTCAATTCCAAATATTTATATAACAAAGGGTTCCAATATGTGTATAAACAGCCTTATCTTGAGGTTATCTTGAGATGATTTCGGGGCTTTTAGTGTCCCCGCGGCCCGGTCCTCGACCAAGCCTCCACCCCCAGGAAGCAGCCCGTGACAGCTGACTAACACCCAGGTACCTATTTTACTGCTAGGTAACAGACGCATAGGGTGAAAGAAACTCTGCCCATTGTTTCTCGCCGGCGCCGGGGATCGAACCCAGGACCACAGGATCACAAGTCCAGTGTGCTGTCCGCTCGGCCGACCGGCTCCACTCGGCCTTTAACACAATCAGTTAATGACTAAAACCAAGTCTTCCGTAGATACACTTAAGTCAACGATTCCAAATCAATGAAAAGAGTGCTTTCCCATCCACGCTGGGGCATCGGGTCAAGGATGGTCTATTTCAGAGAAATTTTGTCCAGACGTCGTCGCTGTGCGCGCTGAGACCTTGGGCTTTGCCGGCCGTGAGTCCCGCGCTATATAAGTAGACCTGACAGCTTCCCACGTCAAGTCCCCGGAGCGCAGCCATGGTAAGAGCACAACTTGACTTACCAACTTCCTTCTCGTGCCTCTGAATGTTCTTGATTACGCAACTTCCTGTTGCTGGATTAAATGTGAAATCATTGACAAATTGTTCGAATATCTAGTTTTTTGAGGAACATGAACTAGTGACTTGAAAATGATACTTGTATAGTTGTCTCAGTGGACGTTTAAATGATCTGAATACTGGTATCTTTCCCGGCATCGTCCTCACGCCTCTAATAACGGCCATTGCGAAACCACTTCCTCTCCATGGAAAGAATTTGTGTATTTTATATAGTGAAAAAGTGTTCTGTAATTCCTTTTGTTTTTGCGAGCGTCATAACATGACAGAGGCGCCTTGCTCAACCTCTTCAACGTGTCAGTAATAGACGCTGTTACACAACACTTAACTCTGGTTTAAACGGGAAAGCTTTAGGTCAATTACATTGTTAAATATTGCTTTTCAGTATTTAGAAATGGTCTCTCAATTTTGCCAACATATTCTCCGGTAATTGTGATAAGAACACACGTGCCTTTTCTTAACTCTTATGCTGTTCAAAATATATTTGCTGTCCAGAGTTCATGCCATTGCATTAAACGGGTAATTCGTGAAAAAACCTTAGGATGGTTAAGGAAAAACATCTGGCAGATATTTCCCCGCCAGAGCGAGCTGTCTGTGGCTCGTACTTTCAATCCGTCTTCCTAAGGTTTCCCAACGTCAAGAAACCGACGTACTAAAGTGCCCTTATCCTGTCCTACCAGAGGACCCAACACAGAAAACGGGACAGTATGTCAATTTCGCGAACCTCTACCATTTTCTAGTACGAGGATTTTTGGCCTTAAGGAGACCATTCGTCAAAATGCGATGTTCTATTAGGAGGACGAGTTGCGTATCTTTTAATGTTTCTTGTTTCCATTTTTGCAGAGTTTGTTGATCTTCTGTCTGGTGTTGCTCTCGTCCAGGGCCCTCGCTGAACTCCCAAGCGGGGCTGCCCATGGCGGACACAAGGGGCTTGGCGCCGGGCTTGGAGGAGGCTTAGGAGGTGGACACGGAGGCTTCGTCGGCGGCGGACATGGCTTGTCTGGTGGGCACATCGGAGGTGGAATAGTCTCTGGAGGCTTTGGAGGTGGACACGGAGGAGCCATCAGCGGTGGCCACGGAGGCGGCTTCGGTGGAGGAAGCTTTGGTGGTGGACACGGAGGAGGCTTTGGTGGTGGAGGCTTCGGAGGTGGACACGGGGGAATCATCGATGGTGGAATTGGAGGTAGCATCGGTGGAAAGCATGGAGGAGGAATCATTAGTGGTGGACACGGAGGAGGCATCGGAGGTGGACACGGGGGAATCATCGATGGTGGAATTGGAGGTGGTATCGGTGGAAAGCACGGAGGAGTCATCAGCGGTGGACACGGAGGAATCATTGACGGTGGGATTGGAGGTGGACACGGAGGAGGCTTTGGTGGTGGACACGGAGGAATCATCGATGATGGAATTGGAGGTGGTATCGGTGGAAAGCACGGAGGAGTCATCAGCGGTGGAAGCATAATCTCTGGAGGCTTTGACGGTGGACACGGAGGAGTCATTGATGGTGGACACGGAGGCGTCATCGGTGGAAAAGATGATGGAATCCTTGGTAGTGGTCATGGAGGATTCATCAGCGGTGGACACGGAGGAGTTGGTGGTGGATTTGGAGGCGCCGGTGGCAAGCACGGAGGAGTCGTCGGTGGTGGCCACGGAGGATTCATCAGCGGTGGACACGGAGGAGTTGGTGGTGGATTTGGAGGCTCCGGTGGCAAGCACGGAGGAGTCGTCGGTGGTGGCCACGGAGGATTCATCAGCGGTGGACACGGAGGAGTTGGTGGTGGATTTGGAGGCTCCGGTGGCAAGCACGGAGGAGCCATCGGTGGTGGACACGGAGGAGTTGGTGGTGGATTTGGAGGCTCCGGTGGCAAGCATGGAGGAGCCATCAGTGGAGGACACGGAGGATTCATCAGCGGTGGACACGGAGGAGTTGGTGGTGGATTTGGAGGCTCCGGTGGCAAGCACGGAGGAGTCGTCGGTGGTGGCCACGGAGGATTCATCAGTGGTGGACACGGAGGAGTTGGTGGTGGATTTGGAGGCTCCGGTGGCAAGCACGGAGGAGCCATCGGTGGTGGACACGGAGGAGTTGGTGGTGGATTTGGAGGCTCCGGTGGCAAGCTGGGAGGAGTCGTAAGTGGTGGACATGGAGGATTCATCAGTGGTGGACACGGAGGAGTTGGTGGTGGACTTGGAGGCATCGGTGGCAAGCACGGAGGAGCCATCGGTGGTGGACACGGAGGAGTTGGTGGTGGATTTGGAGGCTCCGGTGGCAAGCTGGGAGGAGTCGTAAGTGGTGGACATGGAGGATTCATCAGTGGTGGACACGGAGGAGTTGGTGGTGGACTTGGAGGCATCGGTGGCAAGCACGGAGGAGCCATCGGTGGTGGACAAGGAGGATTCATCAGTGGTGGACACGGAGGAGTTGGTGGTGGACTTGGAGGCATTGGTGGCAAGCACGGAGGAGTCGTCGGTAGTGGCCATGGAGGAGGCATCGTGGGAAAGGGGGCAGCCACGGCAAGCGTAAGCTTCAACCTAGGTGGTGTTGGTGGTGGCCTTAAGGGACACGGAGGCATCTCTAGTGGACATGGAGGTGGTTTTGTTGGCGGACACGGAGGATCAGTCATTGGTGGAGGATATGGAGGTTCCTTTATTGGCGGTGGACACGGATTAGGCGTCGTCAGTGGTGGACACGGAGGAGGCGCCATTGGTGGAGGACACAAAGGAGGCGTCATCGGCGGAGGACATGGATTAGGTGTCATTGGTGGTGGACACGGAGGAGGCGTCCATGGTGGAGGACACAAAGGAATCTCTACACCATATGGGAAATAAACTATCGAAGAACATTAGAGTTATCACGAGTTTTCTAAGTATGATAAGAGTGTAATATATCGCTATGCCGTGTTCTGGGTTTTCTCCAGGATATAATAAATAATAAAATCGATAGAAATAAAAAATATTTATTTCAGTGGGCCACAAATAAATGGACTAAACCAAACCGAGTTTTCAATTGTTCCTCACTAAAAAAACTTTTACATGTTACCACAA